GACATACTCAAAAGAGCTTAAAAATTCCACTTTGACAAAAATAAAACTCTTTAACGGCTACCTGAAGCTGGCCAATTTTTTTAGCGTTTGCGTCAGTTATGAAAGCTTTGTCTTCGTCGAAGTTAATAATTTGCAAGGATTTTTTAATTAAAATGCTGTGTATATGAAGTCGATCCCAATTTAATTAAAAATAAAAATATAAAGTGTCGGAGATCAGAGACTGAAATTGGAATATGCACAGAAATCGTTTTTATGGTGGTGTGGAGGCGGTGGGTCGGTTGGTATTTACGTCGTTTTCATTTTAATTTTGCATACTTTTATGTATTTTTTATTAGCAAGCTTACACAGACGAGCAAATATTGATTTGATGATTTGTTGTTAACAGTATACAATCGGTTTAAAACTGCAAAAAAGTTCAACAGAGAATTGGTATTTTTTTGTACTTTTAGTAATTTGATTAAGCAGTCAGTGAACACAAAAAAATCTTAAATTGGTTTTTCTGTTGTGACTGGTTTGAAATTAAATAATTTTCATTTTTTTACGTGCCAGCCGGAGAATTGTTAACAAGGTAGAAAGTTTTAAAAGCAAAGCTTTTAATTTCCATCTAGCATTTTTTGTTCTAACTAAATTTGAGGGTGAAATGTAAAATACGTGACCACAAAATTCTTAATGATAAAATTATATTTATATAATACATATATTTTGTCCAAATTTTTCGACACAATACCAAAAATGTGTAAACTGATTAAGTTCAAGGAACATGGAGCGACCACGAAACAAATGAAACGTGAAATCATTCATTACATAACGAATCTGAAAGTGGTAGATAAACGTCATAATTCATGAAACAAAGTGTATAATCGTACAATAACCGCAAAAATGCTCATATTTTTAACTTATTTTCCTCCACGAATTGTTAAAGGACGCGTAAATAACACGAATGTGAGCATTGACTTCTGAACTAACGCATCTAAAGTTATATTTGGTTAAAATTTATTAGCAAATATTATAGCAGTAGTAAAGGGGATGACTTGAAATCTCGGTAATTCGGAGAACATGTGCCCTTGATAGGTAGTTATAATGGATATTTGTGTAGGTATTTTGTTAAAGCAAAGCGAGACCATTTTCGGCAATGTTGTTCTACATCTTCGTTTTCTGTCTGTTCGTAATCGCTAAAGATTATGTTGAGATATAAATATAACAATCATAACTTAGTGAATAAACACGACTGAGTAAACAATCGTGCACTTACCGGTTATAATCAGGTGATGTGTGGTGATGTGTTATCTTTATTTCAATGTTATGTAAATATTTTAGGCAGACTGCGTGCTCTTCCAACATATTGCCTTCCCAACATAATTTACAACTCGGTTATTTCATTCCTTTTGCGAAATATTATTAAAAAATTTTAAATTTGATTTCAAAATGCGTTGATGAAATGTACGACTTCAACTCAACATTATTACATTATTGATATTACAGACTTAATTATTTAAATGTTCACTTAATTTAATTTAGTTCGTGAAAGACGTAATTTCCTGTGTGAATCAAGAATCGTCTTCTTGAAAAACACAAAAGTTATCAACTTTTAAACGAGCATTTTTGACATATGTATTGTGTTTTTTTATAATGGTATTTCGGATATTAAATAAGTATAGCGTAGCGGAGTCGAGCGACTGCGAAATCTTGCGAGTCAAAAAACCCACTTTTAATCCGAATGAAACATACTATTTTTTCTCCAGCCATTAATGTAACACAAACATAGGAAATAATTAAATAAAAAAAATGTAAGATATTTACGTAGCCATCATTACCAATTTTTTATTTACGTTGTGTCACTGATTTTCAAAAAGTTTCAAAAAATGATTCATTTTTCGCCAATTATACATTGAATATCAATTTTAAAATTTAGAAATTATGTAATTTGTTTAATTACTAATAAAATTATGGAATATTAAAGACAACATTATTAATGTTTTCAAAATTGACGAAAAAATATACTCTGAGATTAATTATTATTAATCCTAGCATTTATTAATATTGATTAATTTATTAATCCTAGCATTTAAAAGACTTTTAAACCCTAGGATTAAACGTGAATGTTGCCTTAGTAACGCAAGTTTTTTTTCCTAATTGCCAAAACGCGTAATTTTAGTGTTGAAATTGTCATTAAAAGTGTCATGTTAAAACGGCTGGAGAAAAAATAAATTATAGGAAGTTTTGCAAGGGATTGTCCAATGGCCATTCATTATCAACTCTTTCTTTTGCCAAGGTCGTTAATGTATAGGTATAATATGGAGATTATATAATCAACGTTTATATGTAGAAATAACTTATTACTACTAAGGCAATCAAATGTGGGTTGTTCTTGATAGATCACTAAAATCATTAAGTGAAAATATGTAATACAGGTTATGATAAAGTAATGCACAAAATTCATAAAAAGCGCAGCAGTTGCTTTTAAAAAACATACAGAAACATGTCAAGCTTTTTACTTTACTCTCCAGCTCTTGACATATGTCAAAGAAATTTTACGTCAAATTTGTAAGTTATGTCGTCATCAATGATTTTTTTAAATAGGACGGTATAATTTTGATTGCATTATTTGATCAAGCTTATTTTTCAGCGTAGGGGTTGTATCTATAACAAAAAAATTGGTCGAATTCGACAGAACTTTCCTGGCCCATAAAGTACAGCTTGTCAAATCCAGCTCTTTCGAAAAATGAAAAAATTTGATTTTACGAATTTTATTGTTTTTTTTATGGCAACCATTATAAGCTAAAATAAAAATACGTATCTAATGTTTGAGTAAAGGTAAAGACTTTTTTAATTGCTCTGAATCCGGTCATTGAATAAAACACTACTTTTTATTTTGATTTTCGGTGTTGTAATTCACAATTAGTTAATTATAACTTGTCTAAACCTAGGGGAGGCTCCGTATTCCCTAGCCTCCCCATAGCTACGGCCTTGTCTAGGGGTTATGAAATATCGAGAAAATATGAAAGTACCAAATTGCCCGGTGGACTCCATTACTGCACGTTCTTAGGTTACCCTCGATAAGACAAATAACTTGAAAGTGTTTATGTCTATACATCGGAAGAATGTCCCGTAGAAATTGGTTTGATTTGCGTGATTTCGTCCCCTCAAAATAGAGGATCAAAACTATTAAGTAGTAAGCTACAGTCGACAAAATGTTCTGAATATTAAATAATTCTTATTAAATAAACACTTTTGTACTTTCCCATTTTCAGGAAAATGGGGTAACTCGTTCTTAAATTGATCAATAAAAAATATGAACGTAGTGATAAATCACAAGTAAAACTCATCATATTTTGCACATTTTGGATAGAATTTATTCGGCAAAATTTTGAGATAACGTCATACATTTTTTGGGGGGAATAAACAGATTTATTTTGATTAACAATTTACCATACTTACAATGACTCTAAAACGTCTGCAAGATTTTAAAGCGTTCAGTTTTGCAATTCTTGATTTAATCAATGAAATAAATTGACTGATTTATTATTTTTTGTTGAGTCACTCTGTATAAGCAAATCTAAAAAATATGAATGCAGTGATAAATTACAAGTATGGACTGACCATATTTTGCACCTTTTAGATAGGATTTATTCGGCCAAATTTTGAGATGACGTAATCAATTTTTTGGGGTTGATAAACAGATACATTTTGCTTAAAAACGTACCATGCTTACAATAACTCAAAACAACGTCTGCAAGACTTCAAAATATTCAGTTTTGCAATTCTTGATTTAAAGATTAAAGTAAGTTGACCCAGTCATTAATTTTTTTAAGACACCCTGTATAAATATTAATCCAGTGATAAGTCAGAAGTATAGACTCATCATACTTTGCACATTTAAGATAGGATTTGTTCAGCAAAATTGTGAGGTGACGTCATGCATTTTTTGGGAGGGATGAACAAATACATTTTGATAAAAAATGTACCATTTTTATGACAATTTTAAAACATTTCCAAGATTTCAAAGCATTCGATTTTGTAATTTCCCATTAAATAAATAAAATAAATTCACGCATTCATTAATTTTTTGAGTGACCCTGTATAAGCAAATGCAAAAAATATGAATGGAATGATAAATCACAAATAGAGACTCATCATATTTTCTACATTTTTTGAGCTGATGTCATCAATTTTATGGAGGGAAAAGTAAATATATTTTATTAAAAATTTATCATAGTCTTAAAACATCTGCAAGATTTCAAAGCATTCGGTTTTGCAAATTCAAAGTTAAATTGGAAAATGTTGGTTTATAATTTTGATTTTTTTCTAAAAATCTGGACGTTTCGGGTAAATACTCAACACGGAGTCATAAACTACATATGTAGGATTATGTTATTTTGTACAATTTTAAACCCCTTTACTATGTACAATTTTGAAGAGACGTCATCACATTGTTAATGGGGATGATGAGACAAATTTTGGTTTGCGTTTTACCATCCTAATATAAATACAAAATTTGACAACACTCAGCCGAGTTCTTTGGGAAATTATCTGTCTAATTAAAATCCGTGACGGCAGACAGACAGACAGACGGACAGACACACAGACGGAAAAGGAAGACCTATTTCTTCGTACTCAGGGGTCATGAAAAGTCGAGAAAACGTAAAAATAAAGAGCCGGCCGACGGACTCGCTTAAAATTCTTCCTTCGCTTACGCTCGGGAAGTAAAAATTGAGAAAATTAATAACAAACAATATAAACTTGATTTTAATGATAAATATTAAATAATAAAACAATACGTTGGAGTAAAATTTATGCTATAGAAATTGTTCAAACTGTTCCCCATTCACTATCTGACTCAAACCCAGACGATGGTAGACCTAACTGACAGAATTTTCAATACTCTGGGGGCTTATACGAGTCATTTCATGACGATTTTGTGCTTTCATGTCATTTAAATGATCAGGTTTGTTCATGTAAACACGACTCTTTAATGTCCCCATAAAAAAAATCAAGGGATGTCAGATCCGGAGACCTAGGTGGCCATTCTCTTGGTCCACGTCTTCCATCAAATTGATTATCCAAAAAATCTTTAAATTTACACCATAATGTGGTGGTGCCCCATCCTGTTGGAACCAAATCCTGCGATCTAAATTTTGTGGACTATCTGGATCAAGCACTGCTGTTCTAAGATACACTTACACACGATTTTAAATAAGAGGTTCTGAATGAAGTAAGCTGTTTAACGACTCAAGTGTCTAATTGAAAAAATCACCCAAGTAATAGACAAAAACTGCCTTTGGAACAGGATAGAGAAATTATTAACTTAAAATCTTAAATTTCAAGTTAAACATGTTAATGAAGTTCTAAATTTATCTACAACTAGATCTAAAAATTTGAGAAGATGGTATAAGAAAAATATAGAAAGGTTATTAGAGATTAAATTTTACTGCGGATACTCCACTCTTTTAAAATTAAAGAATCCATTGCAGTCCTTAAGAAAATTAAGTAGGAAAGTGGAGCATATTAAATTTATGTCAGGATTCCTCCATAATATTAGGTAGAATCACTAGTCGATGAAAACAATGAGTTAGCTCTTGTCATCTTATTGGGAATTCTGTAAACGTAAAATCCATATAAATCATGCATCTTCAAGAGATTATTGATCTTTGTACCAAAGTAGAGCTTAATTAGACTAATATAACATCTGAATGGGCCCTTCTAATAGATCAATTTTAGAAATGTTTTGATATACGATGTAGTAAATATCTAAACTAATGAATGAGCAAAATTTATTTTAGTCATATGTTTTTAAAACAAAATGAGAAGATTTTATATTTTAAACTACCCATATGCAACAACATAAAAAACATTCGACTTCGGATATTTAAAAAAAAACCAGAAACGTAGTTAAGAGGAGAGTGCTAGAAACTAGAGGACGTTTATGTTATTAAATAATACTACATTAAAACCCGGTTTATAGAAAGCGAATTGAAGTTAATTCGGGATTAACTTTTAACTGCGGTCCGTTGCTAGGCAATGTGCATATTTTAACCAATCACTATTCTACATTTAAATTCTCTGTTAAATTAGTCGAGGATTAAATATTTAATTCGCTTTGTATAAACAGGACTTACATGTTTTTAATTGTTTTGTTTTTATCTTTGGTTTTATGATACCGCTACGACTAACGTTTACAGGTGAAATAGAAAATTTGACAACAGACTTTCTCTCTCGGAATGCCAGAAAAACGCTACCTTTGTCTCTTTTTCTATGAATGTCACGTCCAATCACGTTGACAAGCTTGTTCTCACTATTTAAAACAATTCATATCAAGGGACTTTAGTTGAGTTGAAAATGCAACGATCAAAGACAAACCTTCAAAAATCCATGGTTGTGCTTGATAATGTTTTTTATTGCTCTTTGAGAATATGTGAAGATTAATCCGAAACTTTTTTGTTGTATATTTTTATAAATATGTCTACACTTTATTTCTGTAAATATAATCATTAATTACTAACAAATTGTATTACTAGCTGTTTGAAGAATTTCCATCATATGCCGTTTTTATTAGTAAAATAAAATTTATTGTATGTGTATGTTATGGAGCGATACATATTTTCATTAGCTTTGAAGTTTTAATGACTATGTCTTTGATCGCCGTTGGATAAAATAATTTTAAAAAGTTCAAACACTGTGATTGTGTTAATCCATAGATGTTATTAATCGTTTCGCTACAAACAGTTTTAACCCAATGTAGCATTAAAACGGCTAAAATTATAATTTCCTGTTTTAAAAAATTCAGCATAGGAATCAGTTTCATACAAAGTAAACTATTAAACTTTGAATCTAATTCGTATCTTATCGTTTTATCTATTTCTGCGAAAATATATATCTAAATAATGACTTTAACTGATAAATTGGTTTAGAGTGCTATTTACTTGTTTTTATAATTCACAAAAGTGTATACAATTTGAGAATACGAACTGGTAACGTAATGTGTATTGAGTAAAATTTTAGAGGAATAATATAACTACTAATCAAATTGCTATAATACACTTACCTTTAAAGAGTTATGTGGAAGATTGGACCAATATGGTACCAAATTATGGGACAAATTTAATGAATTGAAATATTTACAAGTATGTATAACATATTTTGCGAAAATCTTTATTTATTTTATTAATACCACGTCATGACCTATTTTAATACAACAAGCGTTGTTTACCCGTAGTTATCTTAATTATCCCTGAATAGCAGTTTGATGTGAAAAATATAAAATAAATAAATAAATAAAATCTCACAGCTCAATAACAATTACATTTATTTAAGGATAGATTTTCAACAAAATTTTATTAATAAATTACAATAAATAATACATATCACTTCATATATTTTTTTAAGTAAACCGATCCCCAAGCGAGAGTATTCACCTTATCCGGTAAGATAAATCTTTTCGTATCGCCCGGGGACAGCACTACTCTATTTACAAACTTTCTACTTACTACTTGATGCTTTTCAGAATTAGTCTCAAAAAAATTTCTAGTTATCTGTTTACCCTTCAATACACAGTCTGCGAAATCTTCTCTACATATGTGTTTATGCTTTACATACTTTTTCACACTTGCTGCTTTTTTTACTTCCTCCCCTTCAACATCCAAAAAGTACACTTTGGCCCGCACACCAAGAAATTCTTGTATGATTTTTGAACCATACTCATTTTTCATCTTACCAACAACTTTTTTGTTCCTTTTGGGGATATCCCACTTGGCGTCGAAATTTGAAGTGTCCATTAACTTCAGAAGCTTTTTGTCGGTTTTAATATCCTTAAAATAGTCATCGGTTTGAATTTCGTAAATAAAACCGTCTGTGTCTACGTAAAGAAGGTTAATTTTGTCACCATATTTGGAAACCATGTGTTTATAATGAAACTCATACATGAACATTTTTTGAAGTTCTAAGATAGTAAATCCGGCGTAAATGGGTTTGTCGAGGCTGATGTTATGGTTAGTTGAATTGTAGGAGTTTTTGTTGTTGTATGATCTTTGAATACTTTTTCCGTAGATTGTGTTGTTGAGCAACTTGAAAAGTTTGATTTCGAAGTCATTTCTAGCTTTAGTTCTCAACTTCGTGTTGTAATCAATGTACGACTGTAACCACTTGGACTGTTTAAATTTTAGAACTCTGTGAACTTTTTTTAGTTCTAAGCCGTATTGTAGACATTGTTTTAGAGTTCTATAGTCAATTACATAGTTACGTTTGTGATAAAAATTTAGTACCTTTTTTTCGGAGGTACTTTTCGGATTTGCTGAAGGAGGAGGAACTGACATAACTTCAGAACAAAAGGGCAAATTATTGTGAAGTTGGTGTAGTTCTTGAGGATAATCTAAGTCTACTTCAAAGATATATCCAAACTCACCATTTTCATCTAAGCTAGAAATAGTATTTTGGAGTGTTTTTATATCGGTCTTGCTTAACCAAGTAAAACCAGATATAGGGAGATTTTGGGACATAGCCCAACCCCCCAAATTGTTTGCATCTAAATAAACTATAAAACTAGATTTCTTTTTCTTATCGTAATTACTACAATAAACGTTATTAGCTTTCACGTGTCTTTTGCTACATTGTGAGATACCTCCACGAATATTAGAAGCAATAAAACTGATCATGTTAGGATCTTGTAACAACTCTAACTCTACACCTGTGTATTTTAACATAGCATCCCACGAAAAACTAGCTACCGTAAAGTAATGTGCTGCATCTAGTTGGTACTTATTTAAAAATACGTCCCTAAAATTTTCAAATATATCTTCTAACAAAAAAACCTTACATTTTAAATAGAGTCTAAAATAGTCACCTATTGTTTTGCATTTAAACTTATCCCAAATGTCTAAACACTTTTCGTATTCATCAGCCGAAATTGTTTCATTGCGAAGATGATCCTTAAAACCATTTTTCCCGGGCAGTTCTTCCTCTTGAAATTTTTCAAACTGGTCGACGTGATAAAACGGAAAATGCCACTTTTTCTTCATCAAGTCGAATACAGCCTTCTTCTTAAATTCTTTCTTCAGGCGCTTTTTCTTCACGTCTTTTAAGATTTTCTCTAAATCTTCTGGTTTCTCGTCACTCATAAACCGTTTTGAGTCAATAAAACGCAGCTTAAAGTTAGAAAAAGTTCGCATAAATCCACAATCACCAAAACGAAAAACACTTTTAAGTTCTGCGGCGTCCAAGTTTTCATACAGAAAGTGTAACCCATACTTTGCCAAATTGTGCATCACCACTGGTATGTCAAATAGGACTTTTGGCATACTTCTGCATTTGTAATGGGCGGCCCCCAAGAAATCTCCTGTCAATGGATGGAAGTCCTGGTATCTCCTAGCCGTCAGTTTCTTGTGGCAAAAATGGCAATCCTCCACCGTATTAAATTGGTTTTGTTCATCGTCGGTCAAGGTTTTAGGTTGTACTTCTTTTCTCAACTTTTGTGCGATTTCTGCAGCATCCTTAGTGATTTTTTCCCAAAATACCTTAGGACTATCTTCTCCAACGTAGTCTTCGCATTTGGACAACGAATCGTCGTAGGAACACTTGACGGAGTAAACAAATCCGCACGGTTTGTGCAAAATTGCAGACCTAGTTTTGTTCAGAGGAACCTGTATCGAGTCGAAATGTGCGTAAATTACGAACGGAATTTTTATTTGGCAGTAGTATTTTTCGAAACACAAGTGCGTTTTTGGCTTTCTTGGATACATTGTGAAGATGTTGCGTTCGCAACTGATTTTTAGGTTTGCACTTGTAACAACTGTTCATCGTTCACTGATAAAACCGGGAAAGTACAGATACATTTTGTTGCAAAACGGTTAGGAATTTTTACGCGTGATTGTGGTATTTATTGTCGCTTTGAGAAATGACGTAAAGGATATCTACCTTGTTTTAACTTCCTGGGCGTAATTTGGTTTCCTCATTTTGCACAAGTCAAATATTTAAATCTAAACATTTACTTAATAACTTAATAAGTCAGTGGTATCTGTAAATTTATTTTTATATGAATTTATTGACCGAAGTTTGTGTAGTAAATTTATTTTTGTTGTCTGTTCTAATTGTGAAGTTTTAATTTATGCATGTTAAAAATGAGCTTTGTTTGTTGCTTTTCATATCAAAACAAAACCGCATAATCAGTGTTTGTCAGAAGTGAACAAAGTAACGAATTGCGGTAAAACAGCAAACAAATACGTGTTGCTATCTAGCGGCCATAGTTTTAACTACTTCGAGTAATTGTCATCAATGAGCACCTAGACAGTGTCGCCAACTGGGAAGAAATTGTCGACAGTTTGGAGACTACGAACAACTAAAACAAGAAATTATGTTGTACTTAATATTTTTGCAACAATAATAGTAATATATTTTATACTGAGTCGAATAAAAATTTAAAAACTGGTTTTACCAACAGATAAGAATAATAGTAAGTTTTAATGTAATACCAAGCGATATACCAAGAGTATTGAAATTGAATTTCAATTTCAAAACATTATATAATAATAAATCTTCAATAATATTTTTTTATTTCTCAGAATTGTTGTTATGGGATCTGTTAAGCAAATAAATATACATAGATAGATTTCTTTTGTCTGTCATCTTCTTCAGAAGGCATTCATTTAATTTTCGCAATAGTGTTATGTTATAATTAGTGTCACATTGTATTATCTGAATGTATCCATATCCCCACCAGAGAATTGTTGATGATTTTTGGATACATGTCAGTTTAATTTTATGTAAGAAATTTCATAATGGGTGTATACCGGTGTCCAAATTTAGTGGCCACATCTCGTGTTACCGTAGGAATATCGACAATTGATAGAAAGTAAGTTTAATGATATTTTGAATAGTGTTGAAAAATTAAAAATGTTAAAAATGTCATGTTAGTTATTCACCCCACACTATGATATGGAACAATTTTTCGTCGACAACAGAAAGAGAAAGGCTAGAAATAATATAGGTACCATTTTTTTGTTTTAAAAAATAGGTTCCCGTCTCCGCCAGCCTACCTGTCATCTGTCTGTGTCGTTTTTTATTAGACAAATAATCTCCAATACTTACTGTACATGTAGATGGTAAAACACCAATCAAAATTTGTCTAATCATCCCGGCCAACACTTTGATGACGTTATCTCAAATGTTTTATAATAAATACGATTTAAATTTTAAAAAATAACATACTCCTTTCATCCCGATTTTCTGAAAACCATCCAAATTAACAACCACTTTTTATATTATTATGTTTGTATAAGCGGCGGTCTGATTAAGTGATTACGGACGCCTCGTGGTATTTTTTTTCGACGAAGTAAGATTTGTCCTAATATAGCTTAGGGGCGAGGAAAGTTCTCTTTAATAACCCTGTTTGAAGTGGACTCATGTGTAAACAATTTTTGAACGAACGTTGGAAAACTTGGTTTTTGTATCGATTTGGTTAATAGTGCTTATTAAAAACAAATATATATAATTATATATACAGCGTGAGTCACTAAGCGCGCATTCCTCGATTTCTCATTAATTATTAGAAATGAACTTAAAGTCTGGGTAACAATATTTTGTGGAGAGGTAAACAAAAATGCGCTTTTTAAAACTGTGGTATAAAAAAAATAAGTTTTAATATATAGAGTGTTTATAAAAAAATCAGTTATAACAATTTTCAAATACCCACCACTAATTTTAGTTATTTCCTCCTCGGCATGATTAAATTTTGATTCTGGACATTTTTTCGCAGAGTGCTTATTTTCCGAGATGTTTGTCAGTTTCAGGTTAAAAAAATCACCCTGTAGCTTGTGGACACCATAAGAAAGCGCGTATCTGTGTTTATTTCTCCATAAAATATTGGGACACTGATCTTAAAATTAAGGTTATTGCGGTTTTTGCATGAATTCTTACATTACTATAAAATTTTGACAAATCAGAATAACGTGGCAACGTCGTAACGAAATTACCGCTACAAAATCCAGAAAGAGGCTGATAAGAATATGTTAAGATATACCTACAAGGTATTCTACTTATTAAAAAAAAAAAACAAAGTTATGGGCTATACCTCATAACAAGACAATCTGCATAGTGGAAAGTAATTTCAATGTATGCTATTAACTTTTTCTTTAATAATAATTAATGATTCATCGAGAACCGCGCAATTAGTGACTCACCCTGTATACAGAATGTCTCAACGATCTATAGAAAACATCAAAGGTGGATTTTTGATAGTTTGCTGTTTTTCAATTGAAACTTTCGAATTAAAGGGAATCTGACAAGAGGAAAATTCTATAAAAGATAAATCTCCAAAAATCAATGGCTGTTTTCGACGATGTTTTTTTTATTGCTTTCTCGGTAGAATTCATTTAGGGCTCCAATTTACAGTTACTTTCAAATCTATTGTACAAGGTGTTCTATTTGTTTGAAGGTTACACAGCAAAGTGTTATTTTTTTAAGTGGAATGTTCTGTATATTTTTAAAAATTTGATTTCTTGTGAAAAAAGAAAAATCCGATGTCAGATATAAAGGTGATATTTAAAAATGCATTGTTCCACCATTTTTAAAGGAGGGTTAGAATATTACCCAAAACTTTTTCGTCACCTTGTTTGAACTACCTACTTATTTAAAGTTTTAAGTTTATATCTTAAACGTGATTAAATTTGAAAAAACTGGCAGTTTTTTCTTGTCATTCAGATTGGATATCTTATTATCTCCTAATAAGCTTTACCATTAAAAAAATTGTCGAAAACTATTTCGACAAAAATTCCCTCGCCTTCGAAATGTGACTGGACAAATCTAGCTCTTTGAAAAAATTATAAAATTTGATTAATGATTTCCGTTTTGTCATAATCTCTGCTAAGCAAAAACCAGCAGCATAAATAATGTCCCCGCAACCCCTGCGCCGTGCGGGCAATGTAAAATATATTTAAAGCACTTAACTAACGGAATAAAATGTTCTTCAGCACTAGGTAATAGCAATCTGAAGCTCAGGTGTTTATTTATGTTTATACATCGAAAGAATGTCACGTAGAAATTAGTTTGATGTGAATGAGTTTGTCTAACTAAAATTATTAATTAAACCACAGTCGAACAAATTGTTCTGAATATTACAATTCTTACTTTGTCATTATTACATAAAGACGTGCGTATTCTCACATTTTCGAGAAAAATTGGGTGACTCGTTCTTAATTTGACCAATTAAAAATCTCTAATGACGACATCAACTTGGATTGGTACAATGTAATACTAACAATAACAGTATTGGATTCCCAAAATTTTCTGGGAAAATGGAGTGAGTCGTTCCTGATTTAATCAATAAAATAAACTGACCCATTCATTAATATTTTTGAGCCACTTATTTAAGCAAATCTAAAAAATCGGGACGGCAGACGGACAAACAGACGCACAGATAGATAGACGGACAGACAGACGGACAGATGGACAGACGGACAGACGAGAGACCTATTTCTTCGTACCCTAGGGGTCATGAAAGGTTAAATTCAGAAAAGAGTGATTCATTAAATAACATATGAAAACTAATATTCGCCTAAAATCATAGTAATTAAAATGTTTTGGGCAAAATTTCAAAATATTTAAAAATTATGGACCTGTGAATTTTTAAATATAATCACTTTTTGTCCATAGAAATGCGAATTATCTTGTAAACTATTGATCAAAAGACTTCTTAATTTGATATCATTTAACAAAAAAAAAACAAAAACTTATAAATGGAACACATTAACAAAAAATATATAGTTTTTTATGTATGCATAATGCAACAGTTGTCGTTTTGAAAAAATGATATGTAATTTTCTATGGATATCGACAAGTTGTCATTTAAACAACATATGGTGACGTCACAGCTTTAACAGCGAAATGTAAAGGCTTTGATTTCCGAAGCGTAAACTGTAATAGCCATTCCAGAACTTTTAATTTTTAAAATTTGTTTTTGAAATCCATTTCTAAAGAAATCGCGCTTAACTTGTGCGAACGTTTTAAAACAAGAGCGCTGGAAGAAGAATCTTTAACTCTTGAAGTATTGTTCTGAATGAGTACGCTCGTCGAACAAACAAGAGTGTTATAAAGGCAATTATATTGGTTGTTATTATTGAAAAAGTTTTGAAAACACATTTCAACTTTTACGAACGAATACAAATAAAAATCTTTACAGTGAGTTTGAATAAGAGAATTTAAACTACTTGTGAAATGGGGTTTTTATTAAATTTTCGTATTTAATTTCTTATCATGGACGATCAATAGGCAATCTTGTCTGTCGATGTCAAAGTAAATAAAAATACTCAAAAGGACTAGCTGACTCATAAATTTATAGTAGTGGCATTTTTAATCTGACTGTTTTAGGGTTTTGTTAATTCTCAAAATTGTACATAGTAAATGGAATTTAAATTGTATAAAATAAAATACCCCTACATATGTAGTTTATGAATACGTGTTGAGTTACCCAAGGCATCCAGACTTTCGAAAAAAAAAAATCAAAATCGTATAACAACATTTTGCAATTTAGTTTTGAATCTGCAAAACCGAATGTTTTGAAATTGTACAGACCTTTTAAAGTTATCGTAAACACGGTAATTGTTTTAACCAAAAACAAACTCGTTCAAATGAAATTAATTTCTATGTGACATTCTTCTGATGTATAACATAAATACTTTATGTTGTTATTATTGCTGAGAGGCCATTTTTACTTATTGAGCGTAAGTTAAGGAAGTATAGTAATGGAGTCCATCGAGCGACATGATACTTTCATATTTTGTTCACGTTTCATGATCCCTAGAAAGGGACTTAGCTAGGGTGAGACCAGGTGATGTTGAGCTTTCCCTAGAGAAATTTTTACCTCCCCGAAACCTAGATAAGTTATAACTAACCAAATGTGAATGACAACATCGAACTGGACCATCGGATTGTGATCCGGTTACTGCAATTCGTCGAAAATGTTAGTTTAGTTTTTCTGTTTCACTCTCACGTGTCCAGTCTCGACAAGCCTGTTCACTATTTGTCTTAAATTACGAGTATTTATAAATGCTTTTCAATTCAATCAAGATTCATGAACGATTCACTCCATTTTCCAGAAAATTTGGGAATACAGTAAATTTATTATTCGTATTAGGTACACTGCAGTTATTCAAACTGATATTCATGTTCTTGTAAAAATGTTGATGATGTTACCACAAAATTTTGTAATGAAAAAACTCACCTGAAACAAACGCGTAGCACGCTTCTTTACCCTTACTTGAATATCTTTATTTTAGGTTATAAATATTACCATAATAAAAAATAAAATTCGCAAAATAAAATCTTAATTTTTCATAAGAGCTTCTGCCAGTCTTTCTCCAGCATCTTACTCGATAATCGTCGTTTGATTAAAAGACAATATAATCGTACACGTTTCTCAATTCCGCTCTCCGATTAATTGGATGAAACAAGTGTCATCCTACTTTGCCAAGGCTGTATTTATTTATACACGCACCATTTACTGTAATGGCGCCAATTTTATTTATTTATATCGCTTTCAAATACATATATGAAATGCACACCCAACATCAATAACTGCAGCATTCCTCCATCACTTACCATCAAAAATTTCGTTCGTTCCTAAAAATAGCGGCGCACTTGTTGCTTTTTATTTCAGTGGCAGCATCTTTTGATTGTTTTCAGTTTTGTATCCGCGAACGTATCGAGGGCGGCCTTGGAACGCGTCCGCATGTACGACGTTTTCAGACGCTACTGAAAGATGTACGTTTCTGCTGGTTTCAGCGCTTGTTTTCAGCGCAACATTGCGATGTTTGGTTGTTTCGCCCTGATAAAGGGTGATTATTGGACTTTTCGCAATTGTTATTTCGACACGTTAGCATAATGACGGTCTTTATGGGTTTTTTGACATTGATTGCTCCATTGATGTCGCACTTATTACCATTATCGTAATTATTATCAGTGCGAAAGGGAGAAAGCGCGTTTTAATTAAACTGTTATATACGCTAGTTCAGCGAAAATTTCTGAGGAGAGTGTTTCAGTAACGGCTTATTTTTTTTTTGTGAAGCTTAAAACCGTTTGCTGGGTAAGAAATAGCAGGCATGATTTTACGGTGAAGCACTTCCGAGCTACCGCACCACCTCGACTTTTTTGATGGGATTAACCATCTTTAAAGCTTTCAACACGAGTGGCGTGTAAAAATTATAATAATATGGAAAGATAATTACAATTTCCATACAATTTGAAATATAGACGAAGAAACTTATTAAATAAATTTTGGAAAACATAATGATTATAAAATATTAAGCTTAATATTATACAAGAAAACAAAAATATGTAATAGCAAAACCTGATCAACTTGATTAATGTTAATATTTAAAATACTTTCTATCACGGATCTTAGATCCAGTGGAATTGGAAAACACTTGATACATAAGAAAAAACGTGTATAGTGTAGCGTCTGTATCAATATTCTTCGAAACTACTAGACTGATTGTTATCAAACTCAAACTGGATACATATTTTGCGAATATTTCGCAAAATACTAACCAAAATTTATATGATTTTGCATGGTAAATGCTTTTTAAATATACATGTGGTTTATGAATTCGCTTTGATATTTCGTCCTAGGCAGCCAGATTTTCTAAAAAATTCAGAAGTTTATAGCAATATGTTATCTATACATATAATCTCTCCAATAATATAATTTTTCAAAGTAGTAAAACCGTTCCAGAACTCTTTTCTTCAGTTTTTGCAGAAATATCACCTTCTGAAATGTTATCAGTAACTAGTAATATGATTATGCAAACAAAAATGGCAAAAAAATAATAACTTAAAATTGTTATTAAAATTAACTCTTGTTCAAAAATGTTGTTCAAGCAACAAGTTAAAAATCTCGGTGGAAATTCTCCCAAATATTTGAGTGAGACACTTACATAAGTGTATCATTGATTTATTCTTGTTTTATAAGCTAGAGACGTAAAAAGTTGGAACAGTTTATTTCGCAGCATGGTTACCTAAGACGTATCTTTGATGTAACGACTCTAGAAAGCTTTGATGTCTTAAGACTTTTTATTTTGTTTTCGTCGTCTTTCAAGCCCCTGTGTCTTTGTAGATTTACATAATTTTTCAGATTTTAAGATTTCCTCTATTTAAAGAACGAGACTAACTTCCCGAAATAAGTAGTGTCACAATTCTTTGCATGTCGAAAGAGATCTGCTATATTTATTTAAAATTGTTTGTCTTTGGGATCTCGTTCTGGTTGAATTAAGCATCAATTTTCCCAGCATCCCGTCTTATGAAATTTCTGAACAATTAAAATTAATTAACAGTTAGAAACTTATATTACATACATTTTCTAAATTAATAATTTGGCTTGATTCGTCATCTTATCAAACATAAGCTAGGTTCATTTAACGTGTGGCTAATTTCATTTTTACTTCCCAAGCACAAGCTACGGAAGTATTGTATAGAGGACGGGAAAATAGGTCTCGTGTTTCCGTTTATCTGTCGTCTCTATCAATTTTTATTAGATTAGTAATTTCCGAAACTACTGGACCGATTGTATTTAAATTTTATATGTAGCTATAGATGGTAAAACACTAACCAAAATTTGTCTGATCATCCCCACCACCAATGGAATGACGTCAACTCCAAAATTTACAATAGGAAATGTTATTTAAATAAATCCATACACCGCCATGGTACGACGGCTATGGGTTCTAGTAGGTACGGCGATGATGACTCATTGTCGGTGACGCCGGCCGGCTACATTTTGCTGCGTAAATCTTTTTTAAAATGTGCAAATCAATGTGTTTCTGTAATTGCGATTCCATGTTTATTCTATTTTTATTTCGTTAATAATAATTGCAATCAAAATTACAACGTGAGTTAAATGATAAGAATGAGTGTCTTTTTTCCATGCACGAAAATAGCATTACCTTTAACAATATGTGCGATATGACGACGTACAATGCCAGTTAAAAATGTTCTTAATTGTTTAAAATGTAGTTCATTTTGATGAAAAATTGGACATACCAGAGCTTATCATTTTTAATTTTACTTTGTTTATTTTTTTGGATAAGATTTAATTATTATATTATATTAATACAAAAGTACACGACCAAAGCCTAAGCTTATGTGGTCGTGTGCAAGTTATAAAGAGCTATAAAACTTTAACAAAAGAAAAAAAAAAGAATGAAATAATGAAAAATAAAGAAATAAAAGTTATAGAACATCAATCCTATTCTTAAATGAGCTGAGAGATGGAGCTTCAACGGTGTATTGTCTGTGGAGTGTCCTGTAGGTTTCTTTCTTGAGTTTGAATCTGTGTCTTCTTAATCGGGCATCGGTATTTAAGGAAAATAGATGAGACAGTTCAACGGTGAACTGATTGTGTAGAACGCGAAAGCACAAGATTAGATCACCCGTATGTCTCCTATCTTCAAAGGTTGTTATTTTTGACATTCTGAGGTGTGTTTCGTACGGTGGGCGTGTTCTACCGTAGGGGATGCGAGTAGCACAGCGCTGCACACACTCCAACATGTTACGGTCTCGTACATATTCCACACTCCATACAGGGACACCATATTCTAGAATGGACTCACTTAAAGGGTGTAAAGCTTAGTAAAGGTATCAGGAGAAGGATGAGTGAAAATCTTCGAGAGGAGGAATAAAGTGGATTTTGCTTTTTTGAAAATAGAGGTAATATGGGAGAACCCTGATAAGTCGGATGTTATCTTGATACCAAGGTCTACGTAGGAAGACACTGGTTTGAGGACAATTCCATCAAGATGGTATGCACACATTGGATTGTTTGATCCCAAGTGAAGTACCACACATTTGTCAGCGTTAATAGGCATTTGCCATACTGCACTCCAATAAGACAGACGATTGATGTTGGTTTGAAGGGTCTGATGGGCATGAGTCGGATTGCCATAGAATTTCAAGTCGTCAGCATATAAGGAGGATTTAGTCGTGAGAAGTGATGAGAGATCAGAGACAAATATCAGGAATAGGATGGGACCCAGTACTGATCCCTGTGGAACCCCACTTACAGCTGATTTAGTAGAAGATAACGTATTTCCTACTTTCACTTGGAAAGATCTGTTCTTTTTAGATAGCTAGAAAGCCAGAGGTGAAGATCGTCATTAATCCCAAAGCGCTTAAGTTTGATAAGAAGTCTTTCAATAGAAAATGAGATATACCATCGATTTCGGAGGCCGATGATGACTTTAGAGTGAGGAGATGATGTTTGACAGTGTTCTTTTCGAATATTATATTTGTAAGATGTTCGTTAATATCCAGCGAAGAGAGCTGTGGAAAATTACTTGTGTCCTCCAAAGTGTAAACTGATTCAAATTTCTATGCAAAAAATTCCGAGATTTCAGTGTAGTCGTCACACAAGTTATCATTACTTGATTTTATAACTGGAACAGGAACGTGCGTTGTAGAAGAGTTTCTTACATATCTGTAAAACTGCTTTTTGTTGGCGTTCTGGGCCATACAAGGTGACTGCGAAATACATGCAAAAAAAAAATGGGGAATAGCTCACAATATGATTATGTCACTGGGTAAAATTCACGGTCCTAAGTAGTAGCAGTGTCTAGAAAAAATTATTTGAAATTCAATGTAAATTGTTGTACGCGCCGCTGGACTGTTTTGTGACCTACATAATTACTACAATGAATGGAACAGAGCGAGTCGGTTAAAGAACCAAAAAAGTTACTTTATCAGGCACTTTTTTAATCGCAACGTGAAAAACACGAAAAGGGCTAGTTAGCATCGAGCGGTCGGTGAAATCGGTTTATGGTGCAGTTTTCCCATGCAGATTGTGTCGATATGGTAATGGGTGCATCAGTGGTACAGCATCTCCGAGATCATGGTACCTTCAACCTCAAACTCACGATCGTGGCCGTGATAGGACAGAAAGAAGAAGTTGGATTTTCACAGCTTGTAGTGCATCCTACATTAAAAGAATACGGCCACATCCATACCATGTTGACAAAGTGCACGGTTTGGAGTCCACTGATTGTTCACGTTGTGTAACTCACTTTTTGTCCGATGGAACTCCACGTAGTCGTCAACAAGTACGATTTCAAGAGACGGTTTTCGATAAATGTGTATCAGTTGGATGAAACAGTTCGTTTGTGGAAATCAACAGTGTCCAGAAATTATCGAAGAGCTTCAACAAGTGAAAGTGACACCCGCTACTCCGGTGTTTTTTTACCTATCAACAAACCTCTTGCGACGCTCTGACGCCTGTATTGCTAGTCAAGGACAACATTTTCAACATTTCTTGTAAAAAGGTAGTAGCATTCTAAGTTGCTCTTATTTCTGTTCCAATAAACAACGTAAAATCGTTGTGACAAGGACCAAACATCCGTCAGAATCAAAATTACCAAAAAACTTTCACACTGACCTTTAACGATGAATGAGTAAATGAATGAACGAATGATAAGCAGCAAAAAGTCGGTTTTACTTTTAATTGAAACTGAAAGTGTTTAGGTCGTTTTTATTCGAACGTTTTTCCAACTCTGTTTACAAGGTGGCTCAGTGCCTTCGTATCGAGGGTGGTTCATGGGGGTTTTGCCCCATTCGATTTTTAATTTCTTTTTTCTATATTTCGGCTCTACTAGGGTGGGGGATGCCGTGGTTAAAATATTTGCACTTATTTCGCAGTCACCCTGTGTTTTGTTCATAAGTTGCCTTATCTTGTCTTATTAACCTTGACATGCTA